TTTAATTTGTTTCTGCCTGTTAGCTAATGAATTCATATGAAATAACATCATTAATTGTACCAAATTAAAGGCATAGAACCAACCATTAAAATATCAGATTGATATTGTTTTTTTCAATATTATACAACTATCCGTCATATTCAGAGAAAATAACATAAAAAAAGTGTGATATACTGTGACGTGTTATTTACTTTATTTTTACTATCATCCCCTCTCTCTGATTCTCTGATAAACAGTAAACACAACATTTGTAATAGTAGAGATCATCGTGCTGAAAATGCTTCATGCTGACCTTTGGGAGCAAATGCATGATACTGATAATCAGAAGGCTCAATATATTGATTTGTAATGCAAAGACACAGAAGAAATGTACTGCACTAATTAATATTGCACCTAGCTTAGTACATTTGTTGGAAGAAATCAATTTATCTTAGACAAGTGACATTAACATCAACATCAACTAGCTCATGATCACCTCTAGTACTTTTAGAATCAATCTCAAGAGGTGCTGTTTCATGGCAATATCCTTCAATAATATTCTCAGTTGCAGTGTAAGAGAACAGGTTTACCCTATAAATTTCCTCTAAAGTACAATGCTTTGCCACTGCTAGAATATCCGCCATTGACCTTTTCTTGCATCTTCCTTTTCTTCTCTTCTTCTTCTGTCCAACTTGGCTGACTTTGATGAAAAATTCAGCATTTGGCTGCTCTTTTCGACACAAACTCGGGGTGAAACTGAAATCACACCCACTTCCTGCAGGCTGCTCATCATCGCTTTTGATCTTTCTTCCTTATTGGAGAACAGACCAGAATCACTGTGGTTCGTAATATTCTGCTTCTTCAGTTCAAGGGGATCATAATGATGTTCTGGTGATGATTCAGGTTTGAAAACTCTAACATTCTTAGCATCATAATCTTGATCACAAGGAGCAATATTCAAGTTTGGCAAGTCATTATGTGATGACTCAGAAACCAAGTCATCACTACGCTGCACGAAAGGTGGCAACACATTTCTCAGACCTCGATCAAGACACATTTGCAGGTATTTCTCTGGAAATGGCCAGCTTTGAAGGAGATTTCTCTGACGGGAAGCAAGAGCATACTGTCTGCAACAAATATATATAAACAATCAAAATCCTTCTTTTATTCTCAACAAATTCGTTCATAGAGAAGCAGTACTGAGCTGAAATCATCAAATTTGTGAGGCGTTGAAAGCTTATGGACAAATTATAACCAAACGCCACAGAAGTGCAAACACAAGTAACGAAGGTAGAATTTAGAACCCACATGTGGATGATCATGACCAAAAAAAAGAAGGTGCATGAGAAAGCAATGGCTAACAAGAAGCAATGAGCTGAGAAAATTATCAAAGTTGTAAGGGTTGAAAGATTATAACGAAATTATACCTAAACGGCACTTCAAATCACTGAAGTGAAAAGGATATGAAGGTTAAGAGATCAGATGAGGGCAAATAGAACATGCAATAATGATTCACAAAAAACCAGATAAGCACGGATATATTCGTTGAGACAAATTTGCGGGCGTAGGTTGTACCTTATTGAGAATGTTTTAACATCCGCTTCACCTTCACTGTTTATTTCCTTCGAATCAATTTGTTGCTGTTGCAGAGAGCACAAGAGCGCATGTGGGTTTTGTTGCTGAGCCAACATTTTTCCGCCAAGATTGAATTCCAATTTCGGTATAATTAGTAAAGGATGAACTTTTAACCAAAACTACAACAAACCCAGATTGGATTGAAGACTTTGGAACACTATATATGAAGCGGAGATGAAAAGGCTCATAAAATTACGAACCCACAGGAGCAAAATTGATACCCTATAACAAGCAAAAGAAAAATCAGAGATATTTAGGCACAAAATCTAAAAGTGGGTTGCCAGAACAAGATTACCCATTCAATAAATATAAACAAAAGAACGAAAACTAGAATAGCTGATTGAGTTTTCCAGCGAAACAAAACAAGGTCCTTCACACAGAAAAAACAGACAGAGGTAACAAGAAAAAAAGCTTTGAAATTGCAGAGGAAGGGAAGAGTCAAGTAATACGGGTCACGGGTCGGTTTCGGAAAATGGGTGACGAAGCCATTGAAGTTGAAAAAAGAAGAAAACGAGAAAGAGCGAGGGTGAGAGATGTTAATAAGGTTAGAAGTAGCTAAGCGAGAAAGCGGTAGTGAAAGTACCAAGAGAGCGTTCTATCTTCTGTTTGTTGTCTTTCTTTGGGTTTGTTGTTTAGTTGACTTGCTTTAACCATTTCTAGCGCAACTATGTGCCGAATTTAATGTTGTTAATATTATTAACTTTTACTGGTTGGGTTTTGCTTTTACATAGACTTGGGTCGTGAGAAAAAAGCGGTTCTTTACCCTCTCTCTTTTTTATTTTTTTCCTCTTCATTGTTCAATCGTTCGTCACTATCTAACAAGATTATGATTAAAATTAATTTATTTAATGAAATCAAAATAATTAAAAAGAAGAAGAGAGAAAAAAAGTGACGAGGTCCTCTTAAAAAAAAAAAAAAACAGGGCATTTTCACAAAGTTCATGCCTTTTCCCGGACATGAAAACTGACACTCGGATCATTTTTTATTGCGCCTAAACAACATTAGAGAATTGAAACCAAGTGGTGATAAAGCGGAGATTTTGTAGAAGTCGAAGTGGGAAAAAACAAATGGCAAAATCAAAACAATCGACGATCTGGGATGGCTTAATTACTAATCAAGATCTCACCTTTTGTTGTTCAGTGGTATATAATATATGGATATCATCATACTCATATGCAGGGCAAATCCATATGGTGATGGAAAAGAGGTACAATAAGGTGAAGCCGAAGACATCGGCGTGTCAGTTTCCAGTACTCGGCTTCACCATAAAACCAAACAAACTGTTTGTATTCTTTGGCAGTATCTGGAAGACTGGAACGAGTTTCTTTTCGTTTGCTGATTTGTACCGTTGAGTTTCTTTTTTGGCAGGCTTACCTAAGCAGACGTACCAAATGGAAGCTCATCGAGCTAGGCTAAATCTAAAGCCTAGCACTTAAAGTCATTTTGGCTTCTCCAGTTTGAACTTTTAAGAGTAATAAAAGCCGATAAGGAGCAGTTGGCGTTTAATCATGACTATCTCTTCACAATTTCTGCAGAAAAAGCTTCAGCGGATGGAACGAAGAAAAAAGTTTCTGATATAAGAGAGGCCAAATTGAAAATGAACTAATAGATCTGGTATTATCATCTCATGATTATTACTGATGATTATCAAAAACCTAAGTTCTTTGTTTGTGTAGTTCAACCACCAAGTCACTCCTTCAGATCTTGACAAGAGCATTTAGTACCACATAGATATGTATTATGATATCTCGAGTCATTATTTGATTGATTTCTTTTATGGGAAAATTACTTATCATACCAAGGGATCAGACACACGCCTGTAACGCATGAAAGATAGAGTTTTAGTATATATTTGGAGCGTTTTCTTTCTCAGTTATGGGTTATATCTAAATTGTCATGTTGCGGATTCTATATTACCGAGGACTGTGAGATGCTTTTATTTCTTTACATTAGTTCAAAATATACGTGTGTATATGTTGGTATATATGCTTGCATGTGTCGAGAAATAGGTGCCTGTGAATATTCCTTAATTAATCTTGCAAAACATTATTAGGTAATGAGGCATCCCTGCGCTCTGCCATGGAAACATGAATTATGACGAGTTGGCTTTGGTTTCAAATATGGGTAGTCAATATTTTTGATATTTCAGATAAGAGGGAATGAAGCAGAATCCGTATTAACAACGTGGGGTATATTCACCTTGACTTTAATATGAACAGAATAATTGCAGCCTATATCATACATCGCAAGAAGGTATATGGATTCCACTTTATAGGTTAGCCACAATTTTTTCACCATATAACTACGAGAGCTCGTAGTTCTGAGTCATATTTTGGAGCAATAAATTAATGATGTATAATTTCTTTTGAAACAGGGTTTCGGCAATTAATTAACTCAACTCGGGAAAGAGGACGATATATGCTGCCCTTTTCCATTTCATTTCCTCTGCCATGCTTCTCCACATATATAGTTTTAGTCGAAGAACAAAAAATCTTGTAATTATTACCGAATTATCATTATCAACATGTAAAATGATTCCGACGACTGGTGATCATACTCTCATATATATAGCATGGGACAGTACACACATATATTATTCAGTATACAACTTGAGATGGAGAGTTTAATTTCTTGACAAAAGAGTAAACAAGAATATATAGATATTTTATAATATACATCTATTGCCATCCCACACTAAACAAGGTGATCATCAGTGAAACTAGAGCATTATGTGTTGTTATTATTTGGCAGAGACCCAGCATTTTTCCTTTGGGTACTTGTGGAATTTTTCCCACACTAATTTTTCATGTCATGCTGATTATCCAGACAATCACAGTATATCAGATCATTCAGTACAATATGAGGATTGGAGCATAACACTGGAAAAACCTGATATATATATATATATATATAATTTTATTTTAATTTTTGGGACGGAAGAGATATATGTACATCAGTACATAGACACGCATCTATATATATTTTCATTGCCAACAGAATAAGACATGACAGAGAGTTTTCATACTGTATAGTAGTGAAAATCTACAACATTCGCAAGTGCAGATAAATTTTCTTCCCGGCACACTTCAGGAAGTCTATTTTTCTCTTATTTTTTTAGATATTTTATCTTCTATAAACAAATCAGGAGTGTAATCCAGCGGCGCCAATAACTTTATCGTGTGAGTGATGACAAGGTTTTAAAAAAGAGACAAGAACGAATGGCATTGAGATTGAAATAATTTCCCAAAAAAAAAAAAACAATATACAAGGCAAATGATGAATATAATTTTATTTCACAACAAATATTGTTATTATTATCATCATGGCACATTAAACTTCACACCTAACTATCTAAATTAAACCACTAAGCAGATCCCCGGGGGTTGAAAGTTATATATTAAACATGCTTCCACAATGGTGATGAAGGTACGTAATATGCAGTCATCAAGAAAATGAGAATATCGATCTATATTTATAGAACAGCGGAAACAAGAGCATTAGGGGAATAAGCAGAGAAAAGTAATCAGGTTGTGGTTATTTAATCATTGTGTGAATTCATTAAAAAAATTATTCACCAATCTCTTCTTCAAAGACATTAAGACTTAATTTGAGCCCTAATACAATCTGTTTAACCGTATATGACCTGCCAGCCTATTTATAAGAAACATGAGTATAATATCAAATCGTCCACTCACAATATAAACAAAAACATATTACGCCAACCAAAATATTAATTGTCTCCAGCAGATATATATATATATATGTATGTATGTATGTATGTATGTATGTGTATGTGTATCTGGTCACCTGAGGAATAATACTTGGATTATAAATTTATGCTGCCGGAGTGTAAGAGTTCAAGTTAACGAGCCTCTTGCTCTTTATTTTTACTGATCTTGAATATAGTTTGAAGCGTAACAATATTGTTTCAAGTTTACATTGCCGCTTGTAAGCCGCCAGCAGGAACATTAAAAATCATGCATGCGAGAAACATAATCCATAATTAAATATGCATATATACATATATATACTTATACCTGCTGCACCAATCATAAGGGGAAGACAATTAAAACTGGTTATGAAACTGAGAAACTTGGCTTGGATTGGAAGCAACATTGATCTAAATCGTCCTCGAGTTTTTGAATTGTCTCTGAAAGCCTCCTATTCTCCTCACTAATGGCCTCAAACTGGCAAACTATACCTTCAATCTGAGCTTCAATGGCTTCATCACTCAACTCGAAGGCACTTTCCAGAACTCTAATTACCCTCCACAGCATCACTACCACAACCAGACCTCCTCCTTTCTCCTCCAAGAATCCTTCCAAAACCAAAGCCCCAATCACCACACTCCCATCCACAACATACCCACCATGCCTGAAGAAGGACCACCCTAAGCCCACCAATAAAGCCATCGTCTTCACAGAAAGCAAACCCAGGATCCCGATCCCAACCCAGTGGAGAATAAACCCAAGTTCTGCAGCTTTCTTTTGTGTTCTGTTCTGACAGGAACTTAGCAAAGAGGAGGACAGCTCGAGGATGGTGATGAGGAGATCCAGTGCGAGGAAGAGGACCGAGAACATGTGAACCCATGTTGATTCTAGGAAACTAACCAAATGGGTCCGCCAATTTGGACCAAAGTTTTGATCTAGAGGAACTTGGGTTCTGGGTTTGGTGATGGAGAGGAGGTGAAGCCATTTCTGTCTTGCACGCCACGAGTTTATCAGAGTTTGGATTGATGAATGGAGGATTTGTATGGAAAGCGAGTCATGATCAGAACTGGGGGGTTTGGTTTGAGAGCAGGCATGGATGGATATGGAAGAAGTGTTCATGATTCAGTTGTGTGGATTAATTTGGGAGGTACAAGGAGGATGATATAATATTAGTAATGGAAGAAAAAAATGACACACGCACGCACGCACGGTTTGTTATAAGAATTACGTGATGGATATGAAGGTGAAGTGAAAGTCAGGATTGAAAGGTTTTGCATGCTTCGGGGTCACGTTGGTTGGATATATGATTGTCGTCACTCAGAAAAACTTTAAGCGATCATGGGCGACTGCATGACCTTGATTTGCTTAATGGATTGAAGAACAAAATTAAATCTTTTTTTCCTCTTGCGAAATTGAATATTTAAGGGTTCTGCTGCCATTGTTACTTATGTGAAAAATTACATGATGATCCTTATAATTAGTCGATATTAACAAAGTAGCTTTGGCTTTATTTGCCATCCTTTTGCTGGGGTGCCTCGAGTTTTTGTAAATGCTGCAACATAGTATTTAGTTTTGCGTTGGCGTATTGCCCCGAGATGCGATATGATAAGGATCTGCATAAGATTTATTTTTTTTCCCAAATAAAAAGACAGTTTTGGTGGTGTGATGTGAATGATGAACTAATTAAATTAATAATTGCCCATTGTGGGTGCGCGAAAGCAATATTGTCGTATCTTGAAACTCTTTAAGTCATTAGACGGGCAAAGCAAAACCATCTCCCTGAAAATTTATGAAAAACAGAATTGCACTTCCACATGTCTCTTGCCATACTATTCCCTAATTTGATTTCGTGTTATTTCTTGCCAAATACAACATCTCTCTCATTGACTCTTTGTTGTCAAATGTTTGGTCAGCATCATTGACATCACATTCATCAAGAAACTTAGACCCTATTTGATAAGCAGGTCTCAATTTAAAAAGATTAAGATTAAAATTGAAATTGAAATTAGAATTAAGATTAAAATTGAGAATAAGGTTTTAAAATCATGTTTAGCATAAAGTGATAATACTTGTGAGGAATACTTCCTTTTATTTTATTTTATAATTAAATGTAAATTATGAAATATTATAATACCTCTTGAAATTAAAAAAAAAATTGATTAGAAATCCCTTCAAAGAAACTGTTGGTTTTTATTCAATTTTGGCTATTCTTTTTTTGCGTGCGTCCTTTTTCTATTACTTCCTAAGCTTCTTGTTCGCATTCATGGCAGATCACAACCACAATCTCTTGCCTCTCTCTCGCAAGAACAAAGCCATGTCCTAAAACCTAAGATTAATTTTTAATATCAGAGGAGTGGTGGTATTGGATGATCCTATTTAGGTGGAATTGAGATTAAGATTAAATTTCTTATTCCTTCATACCAAAGATAAAAGGTGGGATTATTTAATCTCAATACCAATCTCATACTCATAATCATTCCTACCAAATAGGGCCCTAGTGTACTCCCCCACGTATTTTCTTGTAATTTCATAATTTCATTATGCACACATTTTTGGGCAGCTTTCTGCATAGTTACCCTTTAGTTCATTTGTCGTGAAGATATGAAGATTGTTTAATTATAAATTTTATTTAAATGATCTTGTATTTATGCAATATATTTACCTTTTAATATAGGAAAAATTACTCCAAAGTCCCTTATAGAAATTCTAAATACAGTAAGGTCCAAATGGATAAATACCCCCAAGGCCCATTTTTTTTAAAAATATTTTATGTTTAACTACTAAAACATATCCTTACTTTAATTACAAAAACTATTCAAGGTTGATTACCAAGGCTCCAGTATAATTAAACAGAAAATATATCTAAAATAAAAAATTTGGAACTGGGAATAATTTGTCTATTTTATGGGACCTTATTATGTTTATAGTCCTTTGACTTTGTAGTGATTTTTCCTTTAATCTATCGGTCCCATTAAAAGCATTCTGATGTGTAAAATTTGCACAATGAATTACATGGCATTACTCTTATGTTGATTTATTATTAATTAAATTATTCTTTTTTATGAGTTAATTAAATTATTCTATATGAAAGATGACCGGATCCTTGCAGTTTTCCCCCCCCCCCCCCCGAATTAATGCTACGCGATCAGAAGTTTAGAGCCCTTACCAATTGGCAAACATTTTTATTTTAATCCTGATTAGCAGAACTTGCAAGTTTTATTTTAAGCTCAAACCGTTCGAGATAGAACTGAAAAATAGACAGGACGAGCTTATATGGGCTGGCCATATAAGTAAGTCCATAAGTCCAGTTATATCAAAATTAATTATGTTATTTTTTACCAGCAGGCACTTGTCTAAGTAATTAAAATCTTAGACAGCTTAATTTGAGATCTCATATTTGAGCATCAAGGCACAGCTGAGCACGCAAATTGTGTCTCTCCAATAGTACCCGCAAAACCACCAAGTTAAAGGCTCAATCTATGCAAACATCTGAATTAATGTAAAATAAGATAGGTGGGCAATAAACTTAAAATACTCACACTCTTCAAAATACCCGATGAAAAAAAAAAGGTTATTTTTTAAATACCGATTCTTATTTAAAAAGCTTAAAGTTTGGCTCATAAGCCTGCACTTATTTTTTTTTTTTTGTTTAAATTTTTAAAAATTAAATTTTTTATTATAATATTTTATATTCTTTTTTTTAAATACAAATTATGACATTCAAATGTTAAAAATAAATAGTAAAAATTTTAATATTAAAGTATAAACAAATATAAACAAATATTCTAAAATTTAAATTTGGTTTAAAAGTTAAAAATATTTTTTTGGAATAAAATATAAATGGGCCACTCGAACCATTTTTTATCAAAATTTATCAGAATTAAGCTAAAGTTTAATTTCTTCAATATATGTTATTTTTTTAAACTCAAACTCTAATTTAACCTTTAATTATTTTTTTAAAAATTATTGGATGGTTTATATTATGAAATGGTGTGAAATAAATTTGTAATTATAAAAATTGATGCATCCGTCGCCTGTCATCTTCTTATTTTTAATAGGATGGGACCCCCACACTCTCTCCCTCCCTCTGCTTCATCCTCACTTCCATCCACTTCACTCACTCCTACCATTGCCCTGTTCCAATTAACGTACAAGGTTCTTGTTCGCCTGCCCTTTTCCCTACTTCTTCCTCTACCGCCACCGCAGGAAAGATAAGGTGGTTCTCATAATGGGCACCATTGGCTGCGAGGAGTCTCGCCTGTCCATCAACCTCGCCACTCGCTGCTCTTACTCAAAAGTTATCAACGTAGACAAAATGCAAGTTTACAAAGGACTCGACATCATCACCAACAAGATTCCTTTGGCTCAATGAAACAGCGTCCCACATCACCTCCTCGGAGATGTGGACCCTATGAACGAAGAGTTCTCATCGTCGGATTTTCGCTTAGTCGTCAGGTCCATTATTTCCGATATCAGCTCAAGGAGGAAGCTCCCCATTATCATTGATGGGTCCCACTTGTTCATTCAGGCTCTTCTGGTGGACCAATTTGACCCCACGATAAATGCGTTCGATGATTGTACATCGCCACTAAGCTCGATCTCGTCCAAGGTACAATTGCTGCATCCTCTGGGTGGACGTGTCTTTCCCTCTATTATCGAATTACTTGACGAAGCGAGTCAACGACATGCTTGACTTGGGAATGGTGGACGAGCTAGCTCGATTCTTCAACCCAGAAGCGAGTGACTTTGTGAGAGTGAAGAGAGGATATGTTGGGGAGAGAGAGTGAAGTAGATAAAAGTGGGGATGAAGCAAAGGGAGAGAAAGAATGTGTGGAATTAGTTTAAAAATCATTTGCTCATAAAAAATGGGATCTTAGTGGATAAAACATGTCTCTATCTAATCCCCATAAGTTATCAACAGACAATATGTTATACCTCATACTGAAATACTCAGTATTCAACCTGCTGTAAGAGAAAATGAAAGGTTTTTTTTTTTTGGGCCAAACACATTGCAACGGAAGTTTAAAATGGGATCTTCAGTGGGGAAAATGCATATTGGACATTTTTCATCCCACATAACTCATCTATCGCTAGCTCACTTTGGGATCAAATTAGTCAGTCCAGTTAAAAAATGAACTGGGCCAAACCAAGGCTACACCATTTGATTATAAAATAAACAATTGAATATTGCAATAGATGTCATATTTCTATTTTCTAGATAGCAAAACGAATACAAAATCGTATTTATGATTCATTAAAAAATGTTGTAGAAATAAAGGGCATTACAACAGAACAAGGAAGCTACAAGGCGGTACCCCCACCATCAGACATAAGAGACGCAGCAGCTGCAGCAGCAGTAGGAACAACTCCAGTTGAGATGCCTGGTTTTGATAGATGGAGAAGCCTGAAATTTTGATACCAAATGATTGGGCGTATCAGTGATTATATCAATAGAAACAAAAACTTTGATAATGCCATCGTAAAGTGTCAGTTTTAAAATTTCAATTGCCAGTCCACTCGGATTCAAAAGACCCTATGACTAATTCCCAGCGGCAAGGAAGACATCAGACAACAATTTCTTTGATTTGGATCCTCTGAAATTAAAAGTTTGTAAAATATATTTACAAAAAAATGTCAAATATCTCAGAAATAACAGAAAAAAGAGAGTGGGTAGTAAAAACGGACTCCATGCACGCTCATTTCTCGTGTCACTCTCTCTCTTCTCTCCCTCCCTCTCCCTCTCTATCCAGTGACATTTCAATCTTAACGATTGAAGGGAAAGAAGGGGAATGAACAACTTGGAAAAACTCTCTCCTCCAAAATCTCTAAAATAGAAGGAACATAAAATCACAAGGGAGGACATACTTTCCAGGATTTTGAAAGGTCAGTTAAACTCACTGCAATATCCGCTATTTTTCCTTAATAACTCTCGACCAAGTAAAAAGTTTAAAGGTCACCTCTTTTCTTCCCTTTTCCTCAACTATCCCCTATCAAAACATGCCCTTAGTTTCATCAATAATTATGCAAAGAACATCAGCAAGCTATGACAAGAATGGATATAATGGCTTTCTAGTACAATCCACGTGGCACCAGCCACAGCCACAGCCACAGCCACCATGCATAGATAGAAAGGTAGCAGCTCTTGACGAGTACATAAAATTGTGCAATTCAGAAGACAATAAAGGCATCTTACGGTGCAAGGTATTCGCAAAAGGATGACACAGCAGAAACAATCTCCGTATAGGTTTCAGAAGTAGCAGGGGCTGTTACTTCAACCAGCTGAATACCAGGCGTTACTGGCACAGCCTCATCAGTTGCATGCAGCTTCAGCATTTTATTGATTGATGACACAGTTACAGTGATTTGTGCACCCCTGTTGAAATGGAAAGCAAAGCCCACCCTCAACAATTCATGGTCTAACTTGTACCCCAACGCATAAAACAAGCGGAGTACATTCTTGCTTGCTTTGCTTTCCACCATTGTCCTGACCAGAACTGAAATTTGCTCAGCACCAGCACCTCTCATTGCACCCCCTATATGTCTGACGGTCCTGCACCAAGTCATTACACATATAAGACACGCATACACGGGTATAAAATGGAGAACTAACAAGAATAAATGGCTATAAAATTCATAATTAATACCATGATGGTTCAGTCTGCTCAAGATCACACAAGAGTCTAACCTCCGAAGATACAGCTCCTGAAAAAGGAAGGTCAGAGAATCATTATTCACCTGACAAATGCACAAAACTAAGAATTCTCAATTTTATTTAGATGTGTTAATGGACAAACATTTCAAACACACCAGAAGAAATGCTTTGAGGAAAAAAAAAATCAAAAGTCATGGAATCACTCCACTTCATCCTGGTCTAAACGCTGCAACATCCTGAATCTTCCAATTGTGCAGTAAGAAAAAGGGTAATGATCACCATCAGGTTGCATTGTCCACAGCAAATAAATATAAAAATATAATTACATCTTCAGAGGCCTGATAAAGAACTTACTCCAGATACAATAAGAAAAAATTGCTCTTTATTCTCGAATTGGTCTGCTGCAATGACATCAAGAATTGGCACGTTGAATTTGTCAAGAAATGCTAGGTTTGCCCCAAACAAATTTTGATGATTTATAGTGGCAGGAGAAAATGTGCAAAGCCTATTAGTGACAGGCTCTTCAGCTGCTATTTGGTGCATTGGGTGGAGGATGATGCTCATATCTTGAAGAGCAATTCATTCAGAGTTGTTTATCTGTCGTTTCACTGGTGTCCTAGTGATGAGTATTTTCAAGGGCCATTTCGTAAGATAATTAGAGAGATTGAAGAGCCTTATTTTAATAATGAATCTTCGCTTGTTCTAATTTTATTATTGTTTGCTCTAAGAAAATAACACTCTTTCTTCTTCTTTAGTAACAAAATTTCTTCTTTTACAGGACAAAAGAAACGGAAATATTGCTTGCCACACATTATCATGATATGGCAAAATACAGAAACTCACCAAGGTTGGGACCACTCTTGAGGCAAATTTCATGGATCCTCAATCGCTCTTTATGAACACCACATAGACCTTGTAGGAGAATCTCAAGGGCCTCGACATGCTACAAAAGATAGCAATGTGTAAACTATATACGTTGACTTGAAACACTGATGGGCCTATGATTTACTTCCAGGGTGCCTGCCAATCCTAGCAACTTGATATGCATTTTATGAATAAAGTTCAAACATGAAACACAAGAAATACTTCACCAACCACACATTGCACTGCCTTAAAGAATGGCATAAAATGGTCAAGACTTGATGTCTTTGACACCGTAAAAACAGGATCAAGAACTTGCAATAACAAGAGACAGACCAAAAGTCATCAATTTAATCGAACCAAAAGACCACCCCAATTGTTCAAAGAAAGCAACCGACCCAAAGGACAGAGTAGAACAAGGAACTAACCTGTGTTTCTATAATGCCCTGCACCACACACTCCATATAAACTGTTTCAGAACATCAAACACCAAAAGATAAATTATTTGTATGTTTACAAATTTGTAACAAATCTGTAATGTACTAATATAAATATTACAAATCATAGGGTTCACTCTGAGGCTTAGACCAATACGAATGCTTTAAGACTACCACAGAACGGGATGCAGAAAAAGTTGAAGAAACATGTTTGAAAGGAAAAACTGATTAATTGAACTGCACATCATTAGAGATATAAAGACGACCATCTGGCGCAAGACATTTGTGGTGAGACATGCTGTAACCTAAGAAGGTACACTCAACAGACCGAAAAGAGGGCTTGTGAGAATTATAGGGACACATAAGAGGATAGCAAGCACAACCAAAGACCCTGTGTGTGGAGTAATAAGGAGTTCTGTGAAAGAGTTTGGTAAATGGAGTTGCAAACTGAATAGCAAAAGAAGGAAGTAAATTTGTCACATAAGCAGCAGTGAGAGATGCATCTTCCCATAATTTTAAAGGTAAACCAGCATTAGCTAATAAAGCAAGACCAATTCAACAATGTATCCATGTCTACGTTCATTAGTGCCCATTTCATAGTGTGCATAACGATGACTAATACCACATGTAGCAAGAAAAAAGTCAAAACTACGAAATTCATCACCAATCAGTTTAAATAGCTTTGATTTTGGCATTTAATTGGTTTTCAACCAAAGTTTTAAATTGGAAACAACAGAAAAAGCATCAGATTTTTGTTTGAGACTGAAACGAACGCAAGCTGCAACTAAGACACAGTGAAACGGACTATTCGGATGCAAGGGAGAACACACAAAGTTGCAGATCGGAGCGGCCAGTGGAGACTAGGCTCAACTTGCGCGTGAGAAAAACAAGACCGGAGCAGATTCAAGAAGGTGAGCACGAGCACCAGCAGAAGACGGGCAGTCAATGACTCACGGCGAGCAACTTTGCACCTGGGAGTTGGGCCTCGAGCCTGGTCCGGTGGATTCGCGGGACAACTGTATAAAAAGAATAAAATCTAATCATATCAAGAGTTATAAGGCTTGTACAGTCCTAAGTGGATTGAGCTAACGCTGTGAAAATAGGTTCTGGGCCAGCCCTCACTTTTTAAAGTTTTATGGAATTGGGTTGGATTAGTTGTCAAGATAAAAGGAGTGGAAAAACTCAATCCAGCACACCTACTAGCAGTTGGTGAGCCCATAACTTTATTTTTTTAAATGATTTAAAATTTATAATTAATATATCATATATACATATATATTAAATTATCCCTGTAAATCATACTAGTCTCACACAATAAACTGTATTTTTTCCAACACCTATCTAAATTTAAATGGTCTTTTATGCATTCTTAAAAAACTGCAGTGTTACAAAAAAAATGTAGAATCCAAACCTTTTTTTTTCACTTGGATGTTTCACTAGAAGTAAGCTTGAATATTAAAATAGATGTGAAATTGATAAAAAAAATTAGAATTAAAAATATTTTTGGTATCACAAAAAATTTAGATGTGGTTTTGATATTATTTATATTTGTTTTTACAGATTAAGAATTAAATAGAAAAATGAAGCTAAAATATCAAAAAAAATTTCTAGATTTTACTATTAATCATCTTCTTGTCTAAGTATATTATCCTTTTACTGAAAAAAATTTAAATATAAACTCATATTATTTTTTCAATGAATTATTATTTGTGATTTCGATTAATAGATCTTATGAGAGTAACAAATAATATATATTCAAAATATTTTCATAAAAACTAATAAATCATCAATTTACAAATTATAACAAAAATTTTATTTGTAAATTGTAAGAAATATTTACATTATCTTTTAAATGTAAAGAACATGTTTAAGAGTCATAAATTATATATTTAAGAAATATCATTATTATTGTAAATTTACAAGAAAACATATTGCAATTAAAAAAATAAATTAATTTTTTTAAAAAAATAAGTTCACTCACGAGCCAACTCATTTTAATCTATTAATCTTTCAGGTTGGACTAGCCCAACTCATTTTAAAAAATGAACCAATTCTTTCAATCTAATCCATTAAAATTGGTCGGTTAAACAGGCTAGCTTGTAAACTCAACTTATTTTCTTGACTCTAGGCTTGATGAAAATAGAAATATCAAAATTGTCACTTGATATCTTGTATGCAAGTGGATTGATGCATTTTATTAGTTTCCTTATAAACATTGTCAAATGTAACCTAATCTCTCATAATGAGATCTCATATTTTCTTGATAATTACAGAAAGACGGTGGCTTTCATAGTAGTTGCCATCAATAAGTGATAGAACCTCAATAAAATTAGAGTAAACGTTAATTTTGGATAATTCACATTTCGGCAAATATCAAGGCCTTCCAAAATTCTCATGAGCTTAGCAATTGTGTTGGGGTAATATCCAAGATATTTGAAAAGTGTCTTAATTCAATTACTCTTATCATCTCTAATGATTTCTCCACAAGCAACAAGCCCATTAACACTAACAAAATTATCAATATCAAGTCTAACCTATTCTGGTTTAAGATGACTCTACTTAATTTCATATCTCTATCTCTTCTGCTCAAATGATTGGTCTTAGATTAAAACCTTATGCTGTTGATTATCTATTAAGCACAAGAGGAGGCAATGTCGCTTTTTGGAATATCATCTTCAAAGTACATTTTTTTGCATATAGTTTTCCATATATTCCAACGTGCTTGTGCAAGAAGTCTTTGCCAAGATAATTTTCTTATTCTCAAACTACCTGCTTTGTTTTTAGCATTTCAATTTATAAAAATGGTACAGCTGAATACTTTTTGATAGAAAAGGAATGAGAGTGTGAATTGGCTTAAAAAGTATGTTTATTATGGCTAAAATTTTCAATGGAATCATACCTTTGCGCTTGTTTGGTATGCAGGATTTAATCATGGAAAGCAATGATTTATTTTTTTTTAAAAGACTGGATTGACCTTAATTAAAAACATAAAAAAAAAAAAAACCACATGACTAAAACACACAAACCTTCTGCAACCTCCAACTTCTTCACAAAAACGCTCAGCCGCATCAAGGAAGCTTCAATCAAGAAATTTTTAACTACCAGATTTTTTTACTTTTGCTATTCAAAAACACAAAAGGCAGGATATTGTTATACAGGAATGGAACACAAAAATAAAGAAGAACAAGTAGCACTCAGGCGAAGAAGAAGAATTATTAAATGAATAAGCAACAACAAAACAGGACTTGCATGGGTGAATCAACAATGGCGAAACAGCTTAGTTCATAAAGAAATGGGAAGAATGACCAGGAACTCACTAGCGTTAAAGCTCTCGTTACATAACGGACTCACACCGAAAAACAGCTCCACTCACCATCTTGATCTGTGCAAGTCGTGAAAACAGGGTGGGCAATGGACTTAGACAACCAATAGTATTTTTTTTCAACAACAAAAATTAAAGTGACTGGAAAGACATATCAACAGGGATTCAATTAGGGCGCATGAATTGTATTTTTTTTTAATAAAGAAGAACAATAACAACAGTGATTGATGGACAGATATAATCACTCAAGAGATATCCTGGACAAGAAATTTAGAATTTTCCCCCTTTTTAAGAAAGAAGAAGACAAAAGTATAGGAATTATAGAGAAATCAAAGTAGACATGCAAGCAGAGCACGGCAGATTGTCTTTTTTCTTGGAAAAAAAATTCTTTTGAAAACAACAACAACAATTAACGGGACTCTAGAGGTCAAAGAGGCAGGAAGAATGCACGTACAACATAGGGCGCACGAAGTGTCAAAGAACAAGTATATCAAATATGATAGACAAGACAAAGAATGGCAAGGAACTCACCTACGATGAAGCTATCGTGCTAATGGATGAGAACAGAAGACAAGATTGCATGGAAACTAAAACGGAATCATATAGATGACAACATTGCAGAGACTTATCACCGGTGAAGGTGGAATCACAACGACGACTTCAAACTTGCAAAGAAGAGAAGACAAGTGTTGATTGACAATGATAGTTATTTATAATTTAGGTTATTTATAGTTTAGGTATATTGATTTAATTTTTAAATTCATAATATAATATGAAAGTTACATGATCAACTTTTTCTTATTTCTAAATATTCTCACCCTTTGTTATTTTATTTATTACCATAACTTCTCAACTAATTTACAATTTTAATTTTTAATTTTAAAAATCTTAAAAAATTTCAAGCATAATAACTTGCAACACCTCAATCCGGTTTGTGAAATTAATTTTACTTCTTAATTATAATTTAATTGTGAAATATGGAAACCATACTCACAGAACACCACATAGGAATTTCAAGCACAATAACATCTTGCTTACTTCTCAACTATTTGCGAAACATGGTGAAGTTAGTCTAACTAGTATATGGCTTGTGCTATGTAGTGGTATCAAATGAATCAAAAAAAAATATATATAGAAATAAATTATGTAACATTTTTCATAACTTATGAGCATTGTAATTTATTTGAAAAATATAAAGAAATAAACATGTAAATATTGGCTTTTGTGTGAAGAAGAAATTAAAATTTATCATATGTGCATAGGATGGAATGATAAATTATGAAGAGTTTGTAACAGTGATGGAAACGGGAGATCCAAAAGCTATGTCCTGCAGGAAGAGGTGTGAGTCATGTTTGATATCTATCATGTATAATTTTTTCATAAGCTTATGGTTTGGGGATAATAAGTTAACCATACAATAAACAACCAAAAAAAAAGTTAACCATACAATAAGATAATTTATTATTTAGTGATTCATATTTTTTGAATTAACTATAAAAATTAGTAATTTGATTTCACATAAAGAATTTCATTTTTTGCTCTAATTCTATTTAAGTATAAGGGTTTACTTGTTTTGTCAAAAAAACATATTGAAATTTTACCCATTATTAGCTAAGCATAAATTAAAATTTTAAAATTGATACCAACGATTGTATCAAAAATTTGATATCATTTTGTCATTTTTAAAGACTATGATTTGTATGCTTTCATTAATTTAAATTAGATTTGAATTAAGAGCTGAATTCTTTTGATTTGTAGCATTAAGTTGTTGTTTTAGGGACAACAACTTTAATTCTTAGTAAAAGAGAAGCCAAGGTGGCACTAAGCTTTTTAAAGGATTGAGGATGAACATGCCAAAAAAAAAAAAAATCCAATAGAGCATGCGATAGGATTTACCTTCTTGGAATTTTAATTTCACACTTGGGGTTCCATCACTCACTTTGATCTAGTTAGAAGATCATTGACACAAGCTATCTTTTAAAAATGTTCTTGCAAGGTTGTATACATAACAGAGAAGGATTTATATTAATAGAGGATTTAGACTATGCCAAGTACTAAAAAGAGGACAATTTTAAGTTATATGATTCACTAGAATTATATAATGAGAAATAATAAAAATGAGATGGAATACATTATTGAGTAAATTTCATAGTGACTAATCATCACAACATGTCATGATAACAACTACCATATTTCAAGTAGATTCAATAAAGGAGGAAAAAATAAAATTCTTACTTTTCAGGCCTTAAACTTTTAAGAGAGTTTAGTTAAAGAGAGGTTGAATACCTATGAAATTGGCAAAACTTGTAACATTCATTAATTGAGACAAGGTGATATTAGGTAAACCGAGTGGCGATTTTCTTCCATTGAGAAGGACAATTCCAAAGCAATGCACAATTCTTTTTACATTGAGTCCAAAGTGGTAGAATAAATACAAAATTAACAATAATGAATGGAACAAAAAGTATATAAAAAAGAATTTTTCAAACAAATTATATACACGTTGTTAGCGAAGTGTTGTTAGAGACCTATTATAACCAAACAAAGTTCAAAAATTAGACCATGTTTCAACAACAAAAAAGAGCGAGAGAGAGAGAGAGAGAGCAAAGATTGTGTTAATTTTAAGAGAGATGAATGAGGCTAAGAATATAATGGAGATTGAGAGGGGGGGAGATGAATTA